ACTGTTTTCAACATTGATAATAATCAGAAATGTTTCTTGAGCAGCAAATCAGCATATTAGAATGATTTCTGAAGATCATGTGACACTGAAGACTGGAGTAATGATGCTGAAAATACAGCTTTGATCACAGAAATAAATTACAGTTTAACAGATATTCATATAGAAACAGCTGTTTTACATTATAAAAATATTTCACAATTTTTACAGTATTTTTGATCAAATAAATGCAGCCTTTGTGAGCAGAAGAGGCTCTTTCAAAAACATTTAAAAATCATGTTTCCAAACTTAAACAAGTACTGTACATTGAAACATTTTTCACTCAGAAACTACTAGTGATTTTCTCAAATAATTACAAAGAAAAGGCAAGTAACACTGAATGAAGTCAGCACAGATGTTGCTGTCGGTGAGTTTGTCCGCACTTGTCTGGTTGTGGAGTTGTGTGTTGAACTGGACGGAGGCTTTGCTGCTCTTCAGTCGGATCTGACCCCAGTATGAGACGGCCTGGACCTCCACACTGTAGCTGCTGTTGGCCTGAAGACCTTCCAGATCCACCGAGCTTCTGGCCTGAAACCGCAGAAGAAACCAGTCATTAAACCTTCACACAGTTCACAGTCTCAGTTCATCAGTTCATCAAGCATTCAAAACTACATCACTATATTACACTCAACAGATCTGTCTTCAGTCCTGTCTTCATCGGTGTAAATATAATTGTATTCCCAAAAATCATGTGAATTTAATATATGGGAATTTACTGCTATGAATTTTATTTGTTATATATTGCATAATATATATATATATATATATATGACATACATTCAATATACAATACATCTGACATTTAGGCAACACTTTAGTATAGGGAACAATTCTCACTGTTTACTAGTTGCTTGTTAGCATGCCTATTATTACCATACTGGCCGTTTATTAGTACTTATAAAGCACATATTCTGTATGAGCATATTCAACATCCCTAATCCTACACAAAACCTAAACTTAACAACTACCTTACTAACTATTAATAAGCAGCAAATTAGGAGTTTGAGGCAAAAGTCGTAGTTAATGGTTTGTTAATGGCGATAATTGGACCTTAAAATAAAGTGTGACCGACATTTTTAATATGCAGTAAATTTGATAAATATGCAATATATATCTGATATTTAGTATATAATATTAAGGATGCACCATATTGGATTTTTGCCGATATCCGATATGCCGATATTTTTCAACTCATTTTGGCCGATACCGATACCGATATATTTCCTTTTGTTTGGAAACATCACCAAGTCTCTCCTGTGTGGAAATTATAAGCAAAATATTTTTTGGTTAGTTTTCAACAATAACTTATTTGTTAGAATTAAATAAACAATAATGAAGGGTTTTTTTGACAGTACATTGAAGCTTTGAAAATAACTATAAATAAACTATAAATCAATCGCTGCATTTTTTCCCCCAGAAAGATGCAGCGTTAACCCTAACATTTTATTTTAAGATTTAACATTCGTAGATGGTCTAAAGCAAAAGAGTTGTAAAAATTCTGAAAATCTTTTAGAGCGTATGATTTGTTTAAAAAATAAAACATATTACACATTAATGAATAAATCAGTATATATAAAATTTAATTTACAAGTGTCATGTTTGTGATTTATTTTTTCATGTAAGCTATAGCTTCTGACCTTTAAATCAAAACATACTCATTATTTTATGACATCAATTACTGCTTTATTTAATCAGAAACACCGTCTAAATGTTATTTGTGTACGCTATTTTACTTTTAATTTAATTAGAAGTAGGCCAACAGCGCCCCCTACAGATTAAACCTCCTTACTGAGCGGGCATTAGGACCTGCCGCTGCCGCTGCAAGTGCTATTACTGTTTACTCTAACACACACCGAACTCGTCATTCTGTACGTGCATTCACAGATTAAATGTAGCGATCCAAAATAGTCAATCTAATCATCATTCAGACAAAACTTTGCTTCAAGAATGAGCCACACTGCTGACGTGATCTAATCGCTAGCACACCCTGAGCACATGTGAGTTAATGCATTCCTCTTATCGGCAAGACATATCAGCATATATTTTTCATATCGGGCCGATGCCGATATTTACATTCAAAGCCATTATCGGCAGATTCCGATATCAGTCCGATAATATCGTGCATCCCTATATAATATATTCAAAATATTTAATATATTTGACATTCAATATAAATCTGACATATATTGAACATATAATATATTTCACATATTTAATATATATAATATATTTGTCATTTATTCATTTATATAAAATACAGAGCAATTTTTGGGGTAAAATCAGCAAATCAGCCATGATAAAGTAGTGTTTGATCATTTCAAAATATATATACAAATGCAAAACTTAATAAAAGTAATTATGTCTGAAAATGCTATATTAAAATTATATATATTATTTTGTATAATATATGCATGTATATAATGTAAAGTAGCCCCTAGATATAAATAACATATACAAAAAATATACAAATATATATTTTAAAAATATTTATATTGCACACTACTGTAACTCAGTGGCTATAAATTTAATTAATTGGAAATATAATATCTACAACAATAAATACAAATATAAAATTAATACTAAAAATATTGCATATTATTTCAATGAATACAGTGTGTGATGTAATGTGCATTGAATTTATTTAATACACGAGTTTCACAATTTGAGTTGAATTACTGAAATAAATGAACTTTTCCACAACATTCTAATTTACTGAGATGCACCTGTATACACAGTGGCTAAAAAATTGAATTAATTAATAATAATATGCAGTATTTTTTGTATATCTTTTGCAGCATTTGCCATGTAGCCACTAGATATAAATATTATATCTTGGTTCCAGGAACAGTAAAGGGTTAATCATGTAGAGTCTCTGAATGAATGACGTCTGACTGCTCGTGTAAATGCATGATCTTATAAATAAACTCAAATTTCCCCCACAGGATGTAATGAAAGGCCTGCTGTGTGATTTAAACAGTTCACAGGATGAATCGTCGTCTCTCTGTGTTTCTCTCAGTGTTTTGTGAAAGCGGCTCTCACCCCGTCGCTGGTCTTCCTCCTCTTCCTCCGGGACGGGACGAGTGATTTCCCCGGGATCGTCCAGCTCCAGTAGATCTTGTAGTGATGGACGGGGAGATCAGGCTCTGCGGGGAGAGTCCAGCTGATCCGGACCGTCAGCAGACCGTCGGGTCCCACCGTGATGTTAGACACGCTCAGTCCAGACGGGGCTGGAGGAGGAGACGGGTCTGAACACAGAGAACGACAGCACATGCTCAGAAAACACAAATGTGACCCTAGAGTACAAAACCAGTCATAAGGGTAAATTTTTCGAAATTGAGATGTATGTATCATCTGGAAGATGAATAAATAAGCTTTCCATTGATGTATGGTTTGTTAGGATAGGACAATATTTGGC